GTTTTCGTTTTTGAACTCACTTGTGCTCTTCACTCCAAATCTTTTTGTCGGTTTGGCAATGAGGGCTGTGGGGTGCACTTGTTCTCGCGTTCCTTCCGGCTTTGAACGGCGACTGATGGCATTACTAGGGGTTATTGTTTCCCTTCGTCTGTTGCCTCCTAATTTACTTATGAGACCTTTTTTCCCCTCTGTTGCGTGTTTTTTTCGTTTTCCTTTTATTTATCTGGTTTCATATGTTCTTGTTTTTCTCCGTCTTTTTTTTTTTTGTTGCCTCACACTGTTTGATGTTTTTTTTTTCTCTCTGTGTCCTTCTTTCTTTGCGCGGAGACTATATATCTCTATATATAGTGCATTTCTTTGTCACTTGCTTTGTTCTTTTTATTTGTGGTTTCACTCATCTCTCTGGCTGCGAGCTCGCTGCCTGTGTTTGTTGGCTTCAAGTGTTTTGATGTTTTCAGAGGTAGACATGACCCCACTGGCGTCTCCGAGGTCCCCATTTTCCCTGTTATTTGTTTTCTGTGGGACGCTCTCCACGGGCCTCGATGACTCGGTGCTGCTGCATTCCGTGCACCTGTGACGCACCTGGCCGTCCTTTCTCTCGAGGTGTCGTGCCCTTTCCTGACTCTCCATTGAGGACGAAAACGTGATGCGTGAAAATGAAAGTGATGTGATGACAGAAAACGTTTTTTTTTTTTAGCTTTCCTTCTTTTTTTGTTGAGCACCTTTTTTTTTGTTTTTTCATTGACTGGAGTTTGATGCTCGTTCCTCCGTCGACTGCAAGCGTGAAACGGTGGTGGCGAACGTGTGCGACTGGAGCACACAGATGACCCCCTTTGTGCTCTTTTCGAATTTCAGTGTTTTTTTATTTTTCTTTCCCCTCCTGAGTTTTGGTTCGCGGCAAGCAGGGAGTGAAAGCTGTTTTTATTTGAAGGGAGTTCCGGGGGTGGAAGGGTGGTGAGGGGGCACGGAGAAAACGGCGCTGGAGCAAATCACTGATAGCAGTTCCTCGTTCCAGTAGAAAACAGAGAGAAAAGGAATGCGGAGAGGAAGCGATGAAATAAAATGGGAACAAAAAGTTTCAACGCAACTTCGCTGTTTGTTTGTTTTTCTTCTTTTTGCCGTCTGGAATTGTTTCCTGGTAGTGGGACTGGTGTTGCGAAGACGTTGTTTCTTTCTTGTTTTCGCTCTGCCGGCGTGGATAATTCGTTGAGATTCTTTCTTGTTCGGCAC